TCCTGGCAGTCCAGTGGTTAAGACTCTGCGCTTCCACTGCAAGGGACCTGGGCTTGATTCCTGGTCAGGGAACTAATATTCCCAAGCCAGAAAAAAAAAAAAAAAAAAAAAGTTCAATGCAAGGGAGCCTTAGGGTGATGGAAATTTTCTGCATGCTGAAAGTACCATGTCAGTATCTTGGTTGTGACATTTAACTGTCATTTTGCAAGATACTGTCAGTGGGGGAAGCAAAGTAATCTCTCTGTATGTTTTCTTACAACTGCATGAGAATCTACAACTGTCTCAAAATAAAAAGTTTAATTTAAAAAGGTGAATTTTTAAAAAGTGGGAAAATAAAAAGTGTGCAAATCACAAGGGAAAAAAAAAAAGCTGCAAAGCTCACATCTCACCCTTGGCTTAAGTCCCCAGTGGTGCTCTGTTCAGTGGACGTGGAGGAAAACCCCAGATGTGCACAATGCAGTCCGACTTTCTGCAGGGGGAGAAAGGCCCCATGCAGTCTGACTTCACCTCTCACACTTCCTCCTGTGTCCCTCCACTTCCAGCTGCACCAGCACATCAAGCACATTTCCATCAGGAACTCCGCTCCTTCAGGTTCCTGATCCCCGAGTGGAATGCTTTTGCTCCAGGCCTGTGTGTGGCTGGCATCTTTTCCTCACTTAGGTGGTTGTTCACACACTACCTCCTCTGGGAGACTTTTCTTACCATCCTGTCTAGATTAGACCTTGCCTGTCCCACTCCCCAGAGACTACATCATTGTCCAAGATCATTTTTTTTTTTTCATAGCACTTATCTTGCTCTCACCCTCTTTTGCTGATTTATGTCCTTGCTTACTGTGGGTCTGCCCCTTCCCTGGACACAGTAAGCTCCAGGAGGATGAAGAACATCCCACCACTGCTGTGGAGTGGATAAAGGTCCAGAAGAATTATGTCTGCGAGAAACGGCCAGAAGCTCTCTGTAAACAGATCTATTTTTAAACAATGACTGCATTGTTCTACTTCTAGGGAAATCTAGAGAAACTGAACTCTTTAGATATTTAAAGATAAAATTTAGAAGTGGGGACGGGACTTCGCTTGTGGTCCAGTGGCCAAGACTCCGTGCTCTCAAAGCAGGGGTCCCCCGGTCGATCCCGGGTCAGGGAAGTAGATCCCATATGCCGCAATGAAGATTCAAGATCCTGTGTGCAGCCACTAAGACCCGGTGCAGCCAAATAAATAAATGAATAGAAGTGGGAGCAAAAAAGCACATCTGCAACCAGATGTCAAGTAATATCTGACCAAGCACGCGTCAAAGATAGGGAGAAAGCATCTGCTTTACTTGACGGGATGGCTGTGATTCTCCAAGTTGACTCCAAAGTGGATTTATTAATATTTACAGGAATTCTATACTCTTGTTCACTACTCTGATAGAACCAGATGTTTGTTCACACAGAGCAGCAGACATGATCTGAACAGGAATTCGTTAGTGGAGAGAGCAGGAACAATGCGTTGCTACTCATGCCTTCCAAGAGGACACTTTCTGAGGGCAGAGCTTTGCAGCACTTTCTCAACTCTCTGAACTTCTCTGCCATCATCTCTCTCCAGACGCCTTCTGACCAGAGGAACACCACTGTGCCTGGAAAATGCTTGACTTCACCCTGTAACCACCAGGAACTGATCACCTCTTTTTTGCCCTCTGTAGAACTGTGGCGCTGGGGAAGACGCTTGAGAGTCCCTTGGACTGCAAGATCAAACCAGTCAACTGTAAAGGAAATCAGTCCTGAATATTCATTGGAAGGACTGATGCTGAAGCTCCAATACTTTGACCACCTGATGCAAAGAACTGAATCATTGGAAAAGACCCTGATGCTGGGAATGACTGAAGGCAGGAGGAGAAGGGGACGATGGAGGATGAGATGGTTGGATGGTATCACTGACTCGATGGACATGAGTTTGAGTAGGGTCCAGGAGTTGGTGACGGACAGGGAGGCCTGGCGTGCTGCAATTCATGGGGTCGCAAAGTGTGGGACACGACTGAGCAACTGAACTGAGTCAGTATTAATACCACATCTCCCAAAGTCCCTAAGTCTGTGAGTCTCCTTCTGTTTTGTCAGTTCATTTGGGTTATTTCTTCTTAGATTCCGCTACAAGGGATGTAATATGGTATTTCTCCTTCTCTGAGTTACTTCACTCACTATGACTCTCTAGGTCCATCCACGTTGCCACAAAGGACATTATTTCACTCTTTTTAATGGCTGAATAATATTCCATTGTATATATGTACCACATCTTCTTTATTCTTTCCTCTGTCAATGGACATTTAGGTTGCTTCCACTTGGGGAAGGTCATGTACACACTGCTAGATTTAAAATGGATAACCAACAAAGACCTATTGTATAGCACAGGGAACTCTGCTTTATGTTATGTGGCAGCCTGGATGGGAGGGAGGTTTGGGGGATAATGGATACATGCACACATATGGCTGAGACCCCTCGCTATTCACCCGAGACTACCACAATATTGTTAATTGGTTATACCTCAATGTGAAATGTTTTTTGTGTTAAAAAAATACCACAGTTCACCAGTAGGGGTTGCCATTGACTACCCCCATTCCCACCTCTCTCCCATTAGGGAAAACTTGACTTGAAAAAAAAAAAATTTTTTTTATTATTATTTCATGCAGTGAATATACTGGAGGAAGGCATGGCAACCCACTCCAGTACCCTTGCCTGGAGAATCCCATGAACAGAGGAGCCTGGCGGACTACAGTCCATAGGGGTGCAAAGAGTCAGACACGACTGAAGCGACTTAGCACACTAGCACGCTGTGAATATACAATTTATTCGCCCATTCTATGTTAATGGGTATTGGGGGTGTTCCCAATTTTTCCCATCACAGGTAACATTGCTATGGATACCCTTGTTGCGCATGTCTGCTCAGTCATGTCTGACTCTCTGTGATCTCATGGACTATAGCCTGCCAGGCTCTTCTGTTTATGGGATTATCCCAGCAAGAATACTGGAGTGGGTTACCATTTCCTTCTCTAGGGGATCTTTGCGACCCAAGGATCGAACCTGCATCTCCTGCAGCGACAGGTGGACTCTTTACAACTGAGCCACCTATTTAATATGGACACTCATATATATACGTTACAGACATAGATGGGCTTTCCTATTGGTCATATAGGGCAAACCTGACTCTTGAATGTGCCTTTTCCCAGACTGTCGTCTCCTGGCCATGAGTGCTCTTGCCCCATCCCTGGCTCCTTCTCCCCTCCAAGATCAGGACAGCTGGACACGGAGCAAGCTCTAGTACACGTGCATGAGTGTGGGCTAAGTCACTTCAGTCGTCTCCAACTCCGTGCGACCCCACGGACTGTAGCCTGCTGGGCTCCTCTGTCTGTGGCTGTCTCCAGGCAAGAATACTGGAGTGGGTTGCCATGCCTTCCTCCAGAGGATCTTCCCAACCCAGGGACTGAACCCACGTCTCTTAAGTCTCTTACATTGGCAGGTAGGTTCTTTACCACTAGTGCCACCTGGGAAGCCCGCTCTAGTCCACATCTCCTGCCAAAGGGCCCTCCCTCCTTTCTTTTAGGCCTCTAGCTACTGTTATCAGCTGCTGTTGGGTGCTCTTTGTGGGGGTGGGTAGTGGTTGAGTGGGATACAATGGGCCTGCAGGAGTGCTAGCAATGTTCTATTTCTTGGTCTGGATGCTGATCACACAGGTAAGTTTGCCTCGTGAAAATTCATTAGACTCCACAGCCACGAGCTGGGCACTTTTTTGATGTATGTCTTATTTCAAAATAAATTTACTTAAAAAATCCATAGGTTAGGTTTCCTTAATACACAGCATGCCTTAGTAATTTCTGGAATTCCCATTACAGCCCATAGAAGGAAAAAAAAAAAAAAAACTAAGCCCAAAACCAATTATAACACCAGATCCTGGGAACAGACCCAGCAATGTTTTTCACTAAGGTGGTCTCTTATGTAATTTCAGGGCTTATCTATTTATTTCTTTTCAAGCTGGGGGGACGGGTGAGGGCTGAGGGGCAGGGAGAGTTTGGTTTTTGAAATGCTTCCAGTGGGTTCTGCTCTTTGTGGCATCGCTGAGGCTCATTACCTGAGGCCTGGCACACCTGCTCCCATTCTGGGTCTAAGTAGAATCAGGCATATATCCAGCCCACAGGGGCCCCTGAGTCTCTGGTGCTAATGAGAATACCTGATGGGACCCACACTGGACTCCGGGCCAGGTGCTCCAGGGCTCAGGAATCAGCCAGATGTGTTGCCGTCCCTCACACCCTACAGAGAAGGCTGCTCCACACTCTCTTCCCTGCTCTGGCAGGGAAATCCATGCAGCCCTTTTGGTTCAGAGGCCTAATTCCCTGACACTTCACAGCCTCCACTGTCTTAGAAGGACCTGTTGTGAAGGGGTTGCAGCATTTTCCCGATGCTGGGAACGAAGTGTCAACAGGAACGCAGGGGCCCTTGAAGAATGGGTGAGTGAGCCTCAAGGGCTAGGCTCGTCCTGTCCTCAGACCTGAAAAGCCTTCTCAGGGTCTGGCTTTCCAGGGACCCCTGTGGGATCTGCATCCAAGGCGGCTACACCCATTTCCCTCTTCCCCTTGGATTCCCAATGTCCCATGCCCTACTGTCTGTCCAGGCCCGCCCTGGTCTCAGCATCTCAGTGACACCTTCCCCCAACCTTCCCACACTCCTCAGAGCCTTTGCCACCCAATTTAACACTGTTTCACAAGCCACCTCAGGCACCCTTGGGCTGTAGCATCCCCACTTTTGTGCAAGTTCCCTGGCCGGAAGCTATCCTTTACTTTGTCCCGTGTGCCCAAGTGCCTGGGACAGGACAGGTGCTCAGCAGAGTGGCTGCCTTGCGAGTGGCCGCACAAGCAGCTGTAAGCAGCCAGGGTACATGTGCACCAGACCAGTGACTGCAGGGTTCCCACCCGAGGGGCAGGGGCGCCGAGATCAGAACCCTCGAGCTGTGCTCTCTGCCCACAGGAGCCCCTCGTACCTTGCTGGCCTTCAAGATCTCGAACATCAGGGGCAGGCCCTGGGTGACCAGCTCCTCCGTGTACTCCTCCTCCTGGATGGTCTTGAACTCCGTCAGCAGGCACTGAATGAGGGGCCTGCGGTGCTGCTGGAAGGCGATCCGCAAAGACTCCAGCCACGTGTGCAGGGTCCACGGGACACCTGGGGAGGGGGAGGGCGGACAACAACCAGAGGAGAGGCGGGTTTTTACGTGGAAGCCGGCCTCTCCTGAGGGCATTACCAGATCAGGAGACCAAGAGAACGCCTTTCAATGCCTAGAGTCAGAGCTGTTTTGTTTCTTCTTTCCCAAAGGCTTGCAGAAGTTAAAATTAAAGGTCATAATTCGAGTTCGTTAACTACGGGTATCCAGTTCTGCACGCTCCTCGTGTTATTAGGGGCTACAGTTTACAAAGTATAATCACCGTGTAGAGTATTGAAACTGTAATGCAGACTGCAGCCTTCTGAGTTCTGACCTCTTCCTTCCCCATCCCCTCTGCCTCCATGCCTAGAGCTTCGAGCTGGTGAAATCCACAGTGGACCTCACAGTCAGCTGCTTTGGCCAGGGTGGGCATTTCCATCTGAATATGAAGACACAGGAGGATACCGCTGCTGCACGCAAAACAACATTTCCATCTGCAGGCACTTCATCAGGTCTTCCTTCCTTAATAGAAACCTCTCCAGCAGCTGATGGCTGTGACTCGCTTCTCCCCCCCCACCGTGAGGCTGGGGCACTTGCTACTGCTTATAAATGCACCATTCAGAGTCTTGAGCCTCAGAATCCAGCTACACAGGCTGCCAGGGGAATGGCATAATATCCCCCATACTCAACAGCCACTCTCCGAGAGAGACAAGTTTCGAGACGAGCACTGGAAGCCTCCGCCCACCCTGACCTGCCACACCCTGTGTTTGCAGACCTTGCTCTGCCCTGCCTGCTGCTTCTGGGCCCGGGTTGGTGCCATTAGCTGGGTAAAGGCTGGGCTAGCCCATTCCCCAGATGCATGGAAGAGATGGCCCTGGGCTAGGCTGATCAAGGGAGAGACACCCAACCTTTCCTTGGGCATGGCTTTGCCCCTGAGGTAGTGGGAGCCCCACCAGGGACGGGAGGCCGTCATCCTAGCTGATGCTAGCAGCTGCTTCACGGATCTGAGTGCTCTCAGGCAGCGATTCCCCAACCACTGGGAACCACCTGGGATGATTGTTAAACATAAAGATTTCCGGCCTTTATCCATCCAGACCCTCAACAGCAGAGCCTCTGGGTGTAGGGCCTGGCAATCTGTATTCAGACAAGCTCCCCAGGTGATTCGGATTCCTAACTCAGGGCCCAGGGTTTGGGAATCGTGGAAGGGTGGCCTGAGGATGGGTTTCTGGGGCCGGCAGAATGCTGCTGTCTGTGGGGACCACGTGGGGCCTTAGCCCAGAAGTGCTCCAACCAGCAAACAAGAAGTTCCCTGAGCTGCAAGGGGTGTGTGCACATGCATGCATGCGTGTGTGTGTGTGTGTGTGTGTGTGTGCACGCGCATGTGCATACGTGAGCTGGAGCTGGGCAGAGGCACCGTGCCCAGCCGTGGAAGGCCCCCAGACTGACCTATGCTCCTGATATCAATTGTGACATCCACGTAGCCATGCTCAGCGCTGTGATACATGGCCTCCCTCAGGGCTCTGAGTTTGGCCTTGCTGTTGCGGCTGGCGCACAGGGGGGGCGGGGCTGTCTCCGCCAGGTCAGTCCCCTCAGCCAGAATCTCCTCCAGGGACAGGATATCACTCTTCTCCTTCTCTGGCTGAGCGAGCAGTTTGCGGAACACATTCCTGTCAATCATAAACCCAGAGAGGAAGACACTCAGAGATGCAAGGGCTGTGCCAGGGTGGGAGCGGGGCGGGGGATGTGGGGGAACCTCTCAGCTGGGGACAAAAGAAGGACAGGACAGCTCTGGGGTGGTGGTGTCGGAGCTGTGACCAGGGCACTACCTGTTGTGGCTGGAGGAGATGGTGGGGTGGGACTGGCTGCGTTTCCTTGAGGATGACTTGGGCTAAGTGCTTTCCCCAAATTATCTAGAAGGTTCTAGAACTCTGCCCTTTTAACAGTATGCCTGCATGCCCCCCATGGTGAATTTGCTCCTCTTGGGGTTACGCGTAGTAAAATCTGATGGGGGTAAATCCTGAAGGAAATGTAGGTGGGAAGTAACCAAACATGAGAGGTTTTATTATTCTTTAAATGGATTCTTCTCACTTCGTGACAGGTGATGTGATGAACTCTGACCAGCACTGGCAAAGAGTGATGTCTGTGAGATGAAAGCCGGTTGGGGAAGGACCCGTGGACGTGCAGTATGTGAAGCTGGCCAGGCCCGGACTGCCTCTGGGCCCCACATCCAGAGATGCAGTGAGTCTGGGGTAGGCCTGGGAATCTGCATTTTTAACAAGCACCACTTGGGACCTCATGGCCCATCCTAGCCTACCTGTGTCCATGGGCTGCGGCCTGGCTGAAAGAGTTCATATCACCCTGGGGGGTGGTAGAAATTCCATTCCTGTACATGGTTCCTATCAGGGGGTCCGCGCCTCGCTCCAACAGCAAACTAACCAGTTCAAAATTTCCTGCAAGCCCAGAGAAGGGGGTTTGATAAGAGAATCAAGCAAACACACAGTCACAGACACATCAAGGGACAGGGAGCTGGAGCCGCTTGGCCAGGACGAGCGTCAGAGACTCTTACCTACGGCGGCTGCGAGCTGGAGGGGCGTTTCTGAGTAGTTCTCCTCACCATGCTCCAGAGAGCCCTCCACCTTGGCCCCGGCGTCCAGGAGGAGCTGTGGAGGAAGAGTGGCTGTTGAGATGTTCAAAGGACACGCCAGGAAAAGCTGGTGGAAATCAGTGTGGTGCCAAAGTTCCCGCTCTCCTCTGGGTCCACGGCCACGTGCACAGGGGCAGGGCAACTGCACCTCAGAGGGTGAACTGAGAGCCTCTCACATCTCCTAGGACCTCAGAACACTCAAATCGCTCAAACTGTGGTCCACGGACAGCAGCATCAGCATCTCCTGGGAGTTTGTTTGAAATGCTGGTTCTCAGGCTCCACCCCAGAACAAATGATTAGAATCTGCATTTCAACAAGCTCTCCAGGTGATTTCTATGCACATTAACGTTTCTAGAAGCACTGAGCTAGAAGTTCGTGGCATCACACTGCTGGAGAACTTTCCCTGGAGATCAGTGGAGTAGCCTTAGAGTATTAGAGGGGTCTCTTAGAACCATAGAATCTTAAGAGTTCTGAAGGACTCTGGGGATCACTGGGCCAACCAGGACAATAATCCCTTCTGGAACATCCTAGAAACTCAGCTCAGCAAACGCTGAGCTTCCTGGCCAGCAAGATCAGTGAATAAAGTGGCAGAATGAGCTTCCAGGAGTGCTGCCGCATATGACTCCATTCTGGCATTCTTTAAGATATCTGGGCTTCCTAAAAATGGAGATCTGTCCATGCTGGATCTCACAGTGAATGTGCTGTCAGCACCGCTGATGTAAAATGAGGGGGAAATGCCTGTTTTACCTGCACAGGACTAGCTGAGGGCATAGTGAGGAGGGGCTGCCTACTCGGCATTCCATCGCGTGTGCACCTGCAGCAGCGAGGTGACCTGACTTCCGCTTGGCTTTGTGTGGCTGCCCGCTGCTCCTATTCCTGATTTAAAGGCTGGGGGTGCCACTGTACATTAAGAGATGTTATTTGTATCTGCTAGGCCACCCTCCAACCCCTTCTTCCTTAGATTCCTTTACTAGGAGTGGGCTGGTCATGATGTTCTACAGGCAGAAGTCAGATCTTGGTGTGACATGTCACACACTCAACCTCCTGAAACATGCCTTTGATGTGTGTTAAGGATTCCCATAACCTAGGAAAAAATAAAGGATTCCTACGGAACTCCAACATTGCCGAGGGGTCCCTGACATACTATTTTCTGCTCTGTGTAATTCTCAGAGGCTTGGACCACATAAAAGGAGGGGAGTTCCTGATGTACCTGAAACCCAGCATTCACTATGGGGCCAGATGTGGTTAGGGAACTGGGGGTGCCAATCTCTTTCTTCCAATGAAGTAAAATTTTAAGATCTAGAATGAACCGACTTTAAGATCTAGAATATACTGGATGGCTAGACATTGAACACCAACTCTACAACAACCCGAAATGGTGAGGGCAAAACAACTTATGTGCCCAAAGGACCTTGGATGAGGACATGTCTCCATATTTGGGTATCTGTTTCAGAAGACACACATGAAGACCCTACCCTAGACCTCTTATGTGGAATTCTCCATAAGTGGGATCCAAGCCAAGTGTCATTTGGAACCACTCCCTTGGCTGCTCGGCTGCTTCTTTCCACTGGTTGGAAACCCCTAGACTCTATGCAAACACTGGGGTCATACCTAAGGGAAGTTTCTAAGGTCTCACACCAGCCACATCTTAGGTTCATGTTATGATGAGTAAAAATGAACAAATCCACAAAATCATAGCTCAGGCCCCACCCTTGAGCAACTGGGAACAACTTGGTAGGTTTGCCGTTCTGTGTGTAAGGCTGCATGTAGGTATGTGATAAGTTCATATTGGTTAAAGCCAGGCCATATAGATCATTCCACATAGTATTTTCATTCATATGATATGAATGTGCCGTATTTCATTGCAATTAACCAATATGAATCTCTGGGGGAATAGGCATGCCGGGAGAGGTATAGATTTGTGTAATGAAAGAGGTACAATTAAAGGTCAGATGTGGATAGGGAAATACGTTAATACCTGAACTACAGGAATATGTCCATGCAACACAGCAAAAGTCAGAGCCGTCCAATGGCGGGTCTCGGGGTGGACGGATGGATATTTATGAGGAGTACTGACAACCTATAAACAAATTGAAATTATTTTCAAAATGTGACCTTCGCAATACTTAGACTAGCAAATCTGACCTATCTGTGGCTGGGCACGCGGGCTAGAGATGTACAGAAGGATGTCCTGGAAGGCGCCTTGGACAATGCTGGAGACGGACAGGGTACTGACTTTATATCCTCTGTACACAACAAAAACTCCTTTGCTGCTCATCAGAAGAGAGTTAAATGGGTGACTGCTGACTGCCTCTAAGGAGTCTTGAAGAAACTATAAATGGTGGCTACAGACAACCAGCTCCCCTGCCCGTCTCCTCTTCCTGCCTAAGGGAGGGCGGGGCTTCTGAGAGCTACAGGCTGTCAGGTGAGGCTGCCACCATCACATCCATATCTTTAGGGGAAATTCTCGGCAGTGGCAAACCCCACACAAGGGGAGGTCTGCTTCGAGCTTCCAAGCCAAACAAGACCACCTCCCTTCTGATGGAGGAAGATCACCACCTGGTCACAGCTCCTCCCACACTGTCCTCATTTCATGCTTCTGCGGGCTTCCTGGTTGACGAGGACCCTCATGCTACTGGAAACCTAGGCACAAACCTTCCTTGGGCATGAATGAGAAATCTGATGGCCTTCCCACATGGGGACCTCAAAACACCCCAGACCAAGAGACAGGCTGCAGGACAGTGGACAGGACAAGTTAGGGTCCTGCAGGCTTGTCTGTCACTCACCCACGGCTTTTCTTCTAAACATTCCCGGGCCATTCAACTGTGATGTCTGCTGCTTTCAGAAGAGCTGAGTTCACTAATCACTGGCTAGGTGAGGACCTTGAGTTGGGAGCTATGGGATGGGCTAGAGGACCAGAGACCCAAAACTGAGGAGCTCTTACAGGGACGTGCACGGTGCTTGGGGATTCATAGCAGGGAACAAAAATCCCCAATACTTGAAAACCTATAAGATCCCAAATGGTTTTAGATCGAAAACCATGTCTACTGCCTGTTTTCCTCAGATGAATATAAAGCACATTTTTTAAAAAGCACAGTACTAAGACTACAAGAGCATCTAATTTTGAACGAAAAAAAAAAAGTTTTCTGGAGTGGCTGAGTTAGGACTTCAGCAAGTCCATCAATCTTCCCAACTTCCGAACTGCTAGAAGAGAGTCAGTTGTTTTATGTTTCTTTTCTGTGAGAGTGGGTCTTAAGACAGCATAGAATAAGGTCAAGAAGTATAATTTCACCTTTCATAAGCCTTGAGGGGGGAACCAGTATTACCGCCACCATCACATCCATATCTTTAGGGGAAATTCTCGGCAGTGGCAAACCCCACACAAGGGGAGGTCTGCTTCGAGCTTCCAAGCCAAACAAGACCACCTCCCTTCTGATGGAGGAAGATCACCCCCTGGTCACAGCTCCTCCCACACTGTCCTCATTTCATGCTTCTGCAGGCTTCCTGGTTGACGAGGACCCTCATGCTACTGGAAACCTAGGCACAAACCTTCCTTGGGCATGAATGAGAAATCTGATGGTCTTCCCACATGGGGACCTCAAAACACCCCAGACCAAGAGACAGGCTGCAGGACAGTGGACAGGACAAGTTAGGGTCCTGCAGGCTTGTCTGTCACCCACCCATGGCTTTTCTTCTAAACATTCCCGGGCCATTCAACTGTGATATCTGCTGCTTTCAGAAGAGCTGAGTTCACTAATCACTGGCTAGGTGAGGACCTTGAGTTGGGAGCTATGGGATGGGCTAGAGGACCAGAGATCCAAAACTGAGGAGCTCTTGCAGGGATGTGCACGGTGCTTGGGGATTCATAGCAGGGAACAAAAATCCCCAATACTTGAAAACCTATAAGATCCCAAATGGTTTTAGATCCAAAACCATGTCTACTGCCTGTTTTCCTCAGATGAATATAAAGCATATTTTTAAAAAAGCACAGTACTAAGACTACAAGAGCATCTAATTTTGAACGAAAAAAAAAGTTTTCTGGAGTGGCTGAGTTAGGACTTCAGCAAGTCCATCAATCTTCCCAACTTCTGAACTGCTAGAAGAGAGTCAGTTGTTTTATGTTTCTTTTCTGTGAGAGTGGGTCTTAAGACAGCATAGAATAAGGTCAAGAAGTATAATTTCACCTATCATAAGCCTTGAGGGGGGAACCAGTATTAACTGAATTCCAAACTGATGCTCCTCTATATTTATTTCTTCCAACAACTCTCTGAGATGGGTTTGATTATTCTCCCATTTCACAAAGGGGAACACTGTGGCTCAGAAGGTGAAACTACTCACCCAAGCAGAAAAGCAAATAACTAAGATGCAGCAGTTTCAGAATTTGAACCCACATATCAAATTCTGAAGCCTGTGGGGGCACGCTTTCCACTATATCACACGGCCTTGAGGAAGCTCTGCAATTAGCTTTAAGAACCGTGGCTTCAGCGAGCCAACCAAGTGGGCCAATCAGGATTCGGTGAGGGAGGGTGGAAGATCTGGGGGTCACAGGAGACATGGACCAGCTTTGTATTTGGCAGTGGGAAGGGCTGGTGGTTCAGGAGAGCTCTCTCTGCCAGATCCCAGGAGGAACGGATCAGTGGGAAGAATCAGAGACTCGGTATTGCTGAGCCAAGGGAAAAGTTAGAGCTCTGTGCAGCCGCATGGGTTGTTTTAAAATGAAAAATGCTTGCAGGCAGCTCCTTGGAGTCTGGTTGGGCTGGGGCTTCAGGTTGGAGGAAATCCAACAGCTGGTCTGACCTATTTGCTGGACTGAGCACCCTCAGTGGTGGCTCTTGAGAGATAAAGCCCCCCCCCACCCCCCTTGCTCGCCTTCCCCGGGGACTGCCAGGCCCTGGGGCCCTGCAGCCCTCTGCACCCTCACCTCCACATTCAGGTCAGCTCCGGCATCCAGCAGCATCTGAACCATCGCCTCGTCCCCACGGACACAGGCGTACATCAGGGGGGTCATGCCCTGCGGTGAGTTAAAAACCAGAGAATGGAGAAGGTTTACAAGGTGGCTGTGTCACTTGACAATAACAAACAGAATATCTTACTCATGTGAAAGAGACTATGCTTGTTCTCCAAATCCAGCATTCTAAAGTAAATGTACAGCCCTACAATCCTCCATATTTTGAAAACCAACATGGAAGCAAGAAGGGAAACATAAAGTGTCTTTTTTTTTTTTTCCATTTATCTGGGCTTAAGTTGGAGGATTTTGTTTGTGTGTCTTAGGGTGCAACAGATCTAAGAGTGTTTGCTAAAACAAGTGGCTGGTTTAACTGAAACCTCTTAGGAACTTTCTGGATTCTGTAACATCAGCCCTAAGCTATCTGATTGATAAATACTGTTTCCATGGCATTTTCTCTCTCAGGATTTAACAAGTGTCATCTTTGCTCATTATGGCCTGCTGGTCAGTGTCAAACAAAATTGGTGCCTCTGAGTATGACCCTAGCACTCTATCTGCTTTGACGTTATCATTTACAAGCAAAAGGCAAGCGAATGAGGAATGGTTTTCAGAATTCCATATTTGCCCATGATGCCTGCTTATTACAAAGTACCATAATCAACATAAGTAAGGGGTGGATTTTTCAATAAACACTGCTGTGAAGAAAGCTATGTGGGAAAACGTTCAAGTTAGAGCCTTATCTCATACCATACACCAAATCATTTACAGTTTGATTAGAGATATAGAGAAAAAAATTAAAATCATAAAAGACATCTAACTGAATCTGTTTCTAAATCTGTTTCTAAAAAGTATAAAAGTAATGGAAGAAATCACAAAAGAAAGTCATGACATTGTGGACGTAAGATTGAATTCATAAGCAAAATTAAGAGGTAAACAATAAATTGAGACATATGTGTCACATTATAACAAAGGGTTATATGCCTAATATGTAAAGAGCTCTTTGAAATAAAGAAGAAAAGCAATTAAGCTCTAATGAAAAACAAGCAAAAGAAAGTAAAAGATTAATAGGGTACACATAAATAGTTGGAGAGTGTGTACAAGGAAACAGTCTCTGAGGAAGTAATCTGAGATTGGAGACCTTAAGATAAACTGATGCATTTGAGCAACTGTTCCCACTTTAAAAATTTTCTCTAATGAAATAATCAGATTTGAGCAAAGACTTAAGTAGATCTCTCTCAGTACTATTGATGTAAGTAATTAGAAACAATCCAACAACTGAACTATGTTTAACTGAACAAATATGACCACTTTGTTAGTTGCTCAGTCGTGTCTGACTCTTTGCGACCCCATGGACTGTAGCCCCCCAGGCTTCTCTGTCCATGGAATTTTCCGGGCAAGAATACTGGAGTGGGTTGCCATTTCCTGCTGCAGGGGATCTTCCNCAGACACTGCGAGAGCCCGTACCTGTTCGCTCATGGTGTTGATCCCGTCGGGCCCCAGAAGAGACACTGCCTGCTTCACCAGGTCCGTCCGCCCACAGTTCAGCATCCGGAAGCCCAGGTCCTGCTTAAACTTGGCTTCGATGGCCACTGCGTCCAGCTTCCGAGAAGCGCAAAAGCAGTCGTCGGCCCTGAGGAAGGAAGAGATGGTCAGTTGGATGCAGCGGCTTCACCAGGGGCTGGTCCTTGGAGAGCACAGATCAGGAAGCACCAAGGAGACTTCTCATTTGCTGCTCATGTTAATTGCTCATTTCTAGGCTCCAGCTCCTGGATAAGGGCACAGCAACTCACTCCTGTATTCTTGCTTGGAGAAACCCACAGATAGAAGAGCCCAGCAGGCTACAGTCCATGGGTCGCAAAGAGTCAGACACAACTGAAGCGGCTTAGCACACACACCCAGGCTCCAGTTAGAATACGGGTATCTCTTGATCCTTCCTCCTTTGTAACTGATGCTTAGCCTTGTCTCTCCACTCCCACAGCATACTGAGCTAAGAATAATTGTGGCTAATATGTACTGATTGTATACTCTGGGCTAGGCTCTCTAGTATAGTCTTTACATGAGTTAGTTCATTTACTCCCCACATAACCCCAAAAGGTAAGTACTATCATCACCTGCGCCTTTAACCATGGGAAACAGACACAGATACGGGACTCACCCAAGGCTACATAGCCGACAAGCAGCGGAACTGGGATGCAAGCCCAGGGCAGTCTGTGGAGAGCTGGCCTGGGTACCTACTGTGTCACCCTGTCCCCTCATCACAGCTCATACTAATTTGCCTCTTTCCTTGTCTAAATTCTCCTCCAGGCTGGGGACTTTTGAGAGCAGAGACCCTGTCTAACAAGTCTCTGCATCCAGTCCAGACAGCACACAGTATGTGGAGGTGTTAAAAATGTTAGCTGAATGGACACAGAAGGCCTGGAGTCGCTACTTCCAAAGTGGAAGCATGGCAGAGATCTGGCAAGATGAAATGAGTCCTAGTGGCAATATGCATCAGAAAGTAATTGAGCCAGCGAGGCACAGGGAGCCAGGTTAGGGAAGTGTAGGGAGGAGAATCAGGGATTCAAGGAAGGGGTACAAATTCTACTCGTAAAGGATGTCACCGCCTTCTCATGGTGAATTATCAGATCAAATGACCAAGCATTCACTGAGTGCCTGTTTGCAAGACAGGCACAAGGCCCGGAAGGGCAGAGGGCACAGGTCCTGGTCACGGGGCTGCCTCGTGGCAGCTGCAGTGACCGGTGATCAGAGACGCGCACCAAACAGAACCGAGGGGACCCAGCAAGCCTTCCTTGGGGAGGTGCACCGAGATGTGTCTTAAATAAGGAGAGAGAAGGACGGAGTGTAGGAGAAGCTGGAGCAGGACTTGTCCGAGTAAAGGTGTGCACATGAGATGTGGCGGGCTACAGGAGCGAACTGGAGGTTTTAGTGTTTATGAAGCATTGACTTCCAGGCAGAGGGCCAGGAGCTGAGGGAGGGGCACTTTACTTAATCCTAAGACTATCCTTAAGAGCCACTGAGGTTTCTAAGCAGGCACGGGAGTGATATGGTTGGAGGGCCAACTCTGGGAGACAGTGGAGGATGAATTTGAGGGGAGCTGGCCCTAGAGGTGGAGAGATGTGTTAGTGCTAAAAGAACCAGCTGGATGGAAAGCAGTCACTGCTCAAGCAGGAAGTGACAGAGGCTGAGTGCAGGCTGGAGGAGCAGAGGACGAGGATTTTGTCTTCTCTATGAGCAGGCACCCATTTCTCAGATGATGGCCCTTGTCCCGAGGCTGGTGAATTCCATGCCCTGCATCAGCGGGAGTCAGCACTGGCACGGACCCCTTCATATTCCCGCTCCTTGCTGATTCTGGGGGAGGATACTCAGGGAAAGAGCCAGGGGTTCAGAATTCCTGGGTCTAGTCCTGCCTCTCACTAACCCACTTTGTGGCAAGAGGAATGGTTAAGTTTGCCAGGAACTTCCGTTTTTATTCCTGGGGGAGATGAGAGGAAGTATTGCCCTGAGAGTTTGTGGCACTAAGGCTCCTCAGTAGGGCTAGGACCTGGGGGAAAGAACCTGGGGATGAAAGGCAGAGGGAGTCTTAGGAATCGAGTGAGATGGGTGTGCCCTTGACCTTTCACAGGGTTCCTGATCTATCACTCATTTCAGCTGGCAAAGGAACCCTGGAGGAAGGCTGTCCTGAAATAGGAACCCAGTCATAGGTGATGGCAGGGCTCTTAGAGGACACTAGGAGTTTGCGTCTGGCCACCAGAGGGAGCTGATGCAGTGAAGATGGAATCCAGAGAAAGGAAGCGAGGAGTTGACCGGGGGTCTAATCTGCACACAGGTCTCAGGGACTGGGCATCACGCCAGGCCTCCAAGGGCCTGTTTGTACGAGAGCCCTGGGAAGAACTAAGAAAGGTATTGGACTTGGACCCAGACTCTGGACTCCAAGATTAAGACTGTTTCATGGCAGGTGGGGGAGCCTAGACCACCCTGGTTGGAAGACTTTCCAGGGAAGCCAGAGAGCTCCCCAGGTGTGAGTGAGCGAGCGCTGAAGATGCCAGGTCTGGCTTTAGGCCAGGGCATCAGCACCCACGATGAGAAATTCTAGGGCACAGAATGGGGCTGTGTGCTAGGGTGTCTTAGTCCACTTCATGGGAATTTGGACCTGGGATTCTTACAGCTAACGTGGCCAGATTCAGCAAATAAAAATACTCTCACAAATACTGAGCAAATTGAACTTTAAAAAAAAATCTGAGCAAGGGCAGAGCCACGTGCCGTGGTTTGAAAAGAACAGGAAATGAGATCATGGGCCCCACCGAAGTATAGACAGAGGGAGGGGTGATGCTTGGTGTGGCAGTGGGCTTTATCTAAGGGACACATGTTCCCCACACATAGATTAAAGGCAGATGCTTTGGACAGAGAGAAGAGGGCTAGATCCTGGGGCACACATCACAGAAGCTTCCAGAAAGGGAGAGGTGGGGCCTGCAGATGTTACACTGAGGTGTCTGGAGCCCCGAGGGGGATGTGTGTGCATATCTCAGGGAGAGGGTATCTGTTCTGACTAATGGTAAGGAAAACCTTTCTTGTAACAGACCACTGTCTAACTCTGGAAGAGGTTGCTTTGTGAAATCTTGGGGAGCAAAGATGCTGTGAATTGTTACCATCACTGAATTTGCAATTTCCTCTCCTGTCTGTATCTGAGGCCCTTCTGCTCTCCTCAATGCCTGATTGCCTCTCTTAAATAAGCATCTTTTTTTTTTTGGAATCAAGCTAAATTCCATGTGACTGGATGAAGGTTACTAAGGTGCGTCCTGTGAGTGGGCATCAGGAGGGGAGCTTATGGAAAGATACAGACACCACCCCATGTTCATGGAGCTTCCAGATTTGTAAAGCAATAATTCCAGGAACATCAGGAGAAGTGTTTACCAGCTACAGAGGTCCTTGATTTTAATTAGAAAGAGAGAAATGGCAAGAAAATTACTGTCGCTAAGATGATGATGATGATAATTGTTATTACAGGGAGCCAACATTTATTGAATACTTACTATTGAAATCTAAGCTCTTTTCATGTATTAACTCACAGAACCAGCACAACAATGTGCTGTTGGGGGCCCTGTTCCAGAGATGAGGAAACTGCCCAAGTCACAGAGCTTGTAAGTGACAAGTCGGGATTTGACCAGGCTGATCTGAGCCCTCAGCCCGACGCTGGCACTTCTCTGTCATGCTGGCATGCCCACACATACAACTACCTAGTGGAAAGAACAGCTTCGATGGCTTTCAGACCCTCAAACTGAGCATGTCCCAAATGGAACTTTGTATGAACACGTCCACACCCACTCTCCATCCTCATCCTCCTGTCATCCCACCTCCATAAAAGGCACCATTGCCCACCCCGGTGCTCTGGCTAGCACCTCCTCTCATTCCCATATCTGTTCCATCAGCTGTTAATGCTGCCACTCAAATCTCAAACCCCAAATCCACTCACTTCTCTCCACCTCTACCGCTCATACCCTGGTTCTAAACACCAGCATCTCTTGCTCAGAGGTCGTAACTTCAGTTCTATGAAAGTGCTTGTAAGACAGAGTCTTTTCAGGCCTGGGCATATTTTTAAATCTCAGGTCTGTGGTATTCCAGACAGTTGCTGACAAAAAAGAACTGCCGAGCACCAAGCATAGATGTAAGAATTTATCTTTCAGGCTCAGAATATGACAGAGCTTTGGCTTGGGTCATTAGCATGGGAGGATTGGAAAGGGACAGTTATTTAGGTTTTTATATATTGGAAAGTTGTCTTTTGAAATATTTTAGTAAAAGCTTTCCATGTGATTTAATTTGTCACACTCACGCAAAATCACTTTCATTCTTCTCTTTATCTGAACCAGTCTCTCACACAAGTTGAGAGTGAGCTTAAAACATCTATGGGGCAATTCCTTGGAGGGCCAGTGGTTAGGATTCTGGCACTTTCATTGCCAAGGGCATGGGTTCAATCCCTGATTAGGGAACTAAGATCCCACAGGCTGCAGGGTGGGGCCAAAAAATTAATTAAAAAAATGTCTAAAGGACCATGTTCTGCCTCTGCTTAACATCTCTCAGTGCCTTCCCAGGTACTGAGAACAGACTCCAGCTCCCCAGGCTCGGCCTGCCAGGCTACGGGGCACTGGCCCTGACCTGCTCTCCAGCACTTTCCTTCTGCCTTCACTCTCACTAGCAACTTGTCTCGCTCTTCTGTCCCTTCAACTGGCCAAGGTCCTTCCCACCTCGAGGATATTACTTGTTTAGTTCCCTCTCGCTGGAATGCCCTTCCCCTGGCTCTCTGCAGGCCTGGATCCTTCTTGCTCCTCAAGTGTGAGCTTGGATGTCCTGTTCGAAGGACGTCTTCACTGACCATCTAAAGGAAGGTAAATTTCTCTCCTATCTTTATACACCTCAGCTCCAGGCCAGTTTCATCTGTCTCCTCATTAGCACCTTTCACAACCTCTGACTATTTTATTGATTTACTTTTTCACTTTTTAAAAAGCTTGTTTTTTTTTTCTTTTTGGCACAGTTTTTAAATTAATTTTTTTTCCACCCCGTGCAGCACATAGGACCTTCTGACCAGAGATCAAACCCATGCCCCCTGCATTAGAAGGTGGAGTCTTAACCACTGGC